GATGCAATAATAATAAAAACCATGTAGGATTATAAGGAACAACGAAATTTCACAAAGAAAAAAATACTATCAAATTCTAGTTTTTTTTTGTTTCATTTATTTTATAAAAAATGCTAAAATTTTGATATGTTAATTTGATACATATACTTATATTTCCAGTTCAGTCAAGTGGTGAAAATAAGATATCATTTTACAATCACCCCTTTCAATAAATCCGATCTTCAAAGAGTTGTGATGTTTCGGTTGTTAAGAATTCTAGATTTTGTACGTGGATAATTCAGGATTTATTTTCATCACATTTACTTAAAGAATTTTATTATTTGGAGCAGAAATGAATTTTCTTATACTATTCACTAACATGTAATATCAACAATTTTTTGTAAATTACTATTTTTTCGAAAAACTATAATCGAAAAAATAGAAAAGTAATGAAAAACGTAAATTAAAATGCACTAATGCAAGTATATACTCGCTTCCAAATTATATCTATTAATATTACATTGAAAAAATACCTCAGTAGGAAATAATCTTTGTTGAATATAATAAATCAGCTATGGATAAATGTAATGGAGGAAAATTCAGTAAAGTATTTGAATATTTCGAAAAGACATGAGTGATTATTTCCTTTAGAAATTAAGATAATGTTACAGATAAAACAAATAATAGATTTAGAAAAATAAGATATATGAAATCTCTGGATTAGATAAATAATAAGTTTCCTTAGTACCGGCAAAAAATTAAAACTACTTATAATTTGACATTTGTCTTGTAAAGGGTGTTTTTTTTAGAGGTATGGAACTTTAAATTGCAATAACACAACGATGTATTATTCGATTGACATGAATTTTTTTTTTATTCGAAAGATAATCTTGTGGCATTACATTTTAAATAGGCATACCTACCACGGCTGGCTCGGATGTAGTCCAATCTGGACGTCGAATTTTCGATGACACTTTCCAACATTTGTGGCCGTATATCGGCAATAACACGGCGAATGTTGTCTTCCAAATGGTCGAGCGTTTGTGGCTTATCCGCATAGACCAATGACTTTACATAGCCCCACAGAAAATAGTCTAGCGGTGTTAAATCACAAGATCTTGGAGGCCAATTCACAGGTCCAAAACGTGAAATTAGGCGGTCACCAAACGTGTCCTTCAATAAATCGATTGTGGCACGAGCTGTGTGACATGTTGCGCCGTCTTGTTGGAACCACAGCTCCTGGACATCATGATTGTTCAATTCAGGAATTAAAAAGTTAGTAATCATGGCTCTATACCGATCACCATTGACTGTAACGTTGTGGCCTTCATCGTTTTTGAAGAAGGATTCCACCAGCCCATAAAGCGCACCAAACAGTCAGTTTTTCTGGATGTAACGGTGTTTCGACATACACTTATGGATTAGCTTCACTCCAAATGCGGCAGTTTTGTTTGTTGGCGTAGCCATTCAACCAGAAGTGCGCTTCATCGCTAAACAAAACTCGCTTATGAAAATCGGGAACAACGGCAATCTCGTTTTGGGCCCATTCGACGAATCTACGCCTGGCTTGATCACATTTAAAATGTAATGCCACAAGATTATCTTTCGAATAAAAAAAATTCATGTCAATCGAATAATACATCGTTGTTTTATTGCAATTTAAAGTTCTATACCTCTAAAAAAACACCCTTTATTTGTAAAATTAATGTAATTTACCTTCGTATTTAAATGATAATAATTCTTTGCTTTGAAAAAAAAAGACTAAAAAATTTTACTTAATTGAGAAATGCATACGGTTTTCTTAAATCTGATTTGTTTAAAAATGTTTTTCTAAGTGAAGTCGAGGAATCGTTAAAACTACTGCTGAAGCTACACTAGAAATATTTCAGGAGAACTTGAGCCTTAAACGATTATCAGAACTGTGCAGTGTATATCGCGAGGAGAAACATAAAGTATATGGTTACTGCAAACCGGTTCCTCTCAAGGATACGCCTTGGTGATCCACCTTTGGCTAGAAAAGGTTTGGCGGTGGAAAAACCCAGCCCACGTTATATAAGTTTTTCCAAATATTGAAAAGGAAATACTTAAAAAGTACTCACATCTCAGTCGAAATGTCTTTTGAAACATCTTTTAATTTCTGTGACACTAAAGATTTATTTCTTCTCTGCAAAATTTGGTTATATTTTGGCTTTTTAACAGAATTTTTTAGGCACTGAATTGGGTTTCAATGTCGTTCAGTTGGTGAAAGGCTGATACATAAAAAGTACGCTTCTTCAAAATGATCGGAACATACTGGGGAATACTTAGTTGGTTTGAAATTTTTCTGCCCAGGTTTTATAACCACTTTTTTTAATAAATATGGATTTTTTTAGCGGAAACAAAAAAAAAAAAGGTTTTGACCTACAATCAGACTTTTCTTTTGCATTATGACTATTTAATGCACAACAGTATCTTTGTTATACGATGGAAGATGTGTAAATTCGAAAATGGCCCTAATAACTCAGTCGAATGAAGCAAATAGCTATTTGCTTACGACAATTGTCATGTGACTGTGACGTCAGGTGTATGGAGTCCATAAGGATTTAAATTTCATACAGTGAAGTACTTTTCTCTTTATTAATGTATGATTATTTTTTATATATCCGGTACTATATTGTAAATTCATTTGGCACTAAAGTATTGTACTGACGACAATTTTACTCAAAGGTATTTTATATATAAACAAGAATATTCTTTTTGTTCATGAGTGGAGATAGTTTTCACTGTTGGTTACAAATCACAGTATTTGGCAATACCTTTTCGTTTGATTATTTGGTCAACATTGTTTTAGACAAGTACAGTTATATATATATAATTTTTTTCCCCGTATGTATAATTAAATATGTTAATTTTTCCTCTGTTTGTATTTAGTTTATATTTTTAGGATTTAAATTTTTGTTTTTAATGAAATGTTGAGAAAGTTTTAGGATTAAAATATTGTTTTTATGCGAAAAAAAAATATGTTACTTATAAGTGTGAAGAATTTTAAATTCCTGTCTAAGCATTAACTCACAAAAATAACTTAAAAATATCTATAAAATATTTTTTTTTAGAAAATTTTCAAATGGGAGAAAGGGATTGCTAAAAATTCTTTGATAGTAATTACAGTAAAATTCGGCGGATAACGCGCACCTATACTTTAAGGTATATTCGCCGTATAATACGCACCCCCTTTCTTATACGAAGAAATCTGAAAGTTCTTATATTTTGAAGTAATTTATTCGAGGTATTGACCCAGACATTTGAAAAAAAAGTACTTCTAAAACTTCCAACTCTTTTAGTTAACATGACGTGTCATTTCTTTTAAATAAACACCATTTAGATATATGTAACATTTTTTTTAGTACTCTTTATTTTTAAAGCTATCGTTTTTATACCCGGTGTATAACGCGCACCCTTAAATTTCGATCTTATTTTTTGCGTTAAAATTGCGCGTTATACGCCGGATTTTACGGTAACTAAAAATTTTCGTGTAAATGCTGCAGAACTGCATTCACCTAAATTAATAATTGATTCTTAACTTTTCACTTTAATTTAACAATCAATGCATTTTTACAAAATTCTTGTCTCTTTTGTGTGCATGACAAGTATTTTTGGTGCTTGCCTGTTATTACAACTGTAAACAAAGCACATGGTTGCACATTCAACACATTCAAAATCGTTGTTTCCCTTAGAAATTATATATATATATATATTGTTCAAATTTTCAATCGTTGATAAAATACTTTATGTTCATCCATTCAAGTTTAAATACATTTTTCTAAACTTGTATTGGATGACACTTGATGTTTATACAGTTTTTTCAAATATTAATTCATTAATTAAATTAAAAAATGAATAAATAGTAACAAACAAGAATAATAGCCCAACAGCATATATGAAAGGAAAATCATTCGTTGTGTCCCTGTAGCACAATGGATATCGCGTTGGACTTCGAATCCAAAGGTTGTGGGTTTGAATCTCACCAAAGATTGCCTAGTTTCTGAGAATGTGATTTCTTTTTTACTACACCATTTTATTAGAATAGTTAAATTTAATTAATGAATAAATAGTAACAAACAAACAAAAAATAGTCCAACACCATATATAGAATGGAAAATTGCAAGAAAATCGCTTTCTATTTTGTCACCTAATATTTTGATTCTGTCTTATGTATGTAAATATTTGTATTAATTGTACCATTAAATGAATAGTAATTAAAATTTTTCTTTCTTCACCTAAGTAGGATTTGACTTAAAAATTTTTTTATATTACTTGTAATTAATTTCATCTTTTAGGTTATTAAAAATGCTTTGTAGAAAAGAAACACAGCAGTGTTGAAAATTTGTTCATACACTTTTTATACAAAGTAAGTTCTGTCTATGTATTCTTTTTATATATTTTTTCTGCATTTTTATTGTTTTTGATGGTCTTATAATTTAAGTTTTTTTCTCTATAATTTTTCTTAATTAATCAGTAAACCGCCCATCCGGAATAGTGGTTAGTGACCCTGATGGCAGTGCTGTAGGGTCTGGGTATGAATCCCGGGTAACACATGGATGTTTGTGTTGTAATCCTTCTCTTCTTTGTGATGTGTGCTTCACGATTACTTCGATGTTAGCTCCCGTGTGATACTTTGTGGTGCATGAGGCAATAAATGCTCTCAATAAAAAAAAAATCTGTCATCAGCTTCAGATATCCTTGTATATCACTTTTTTTTAAGTCTATTGCACATTGTGGCATACCTTAATAGCATCTCTTTCTGTCAAGGACGTTGGCATCGCAAGAAAGGGATTTGAGGGAAGATTAAAAGTCCCCATCTATATAAAACACAGGTTCACATTTTTTTTTTTGTCTTTTAGACTACTTGCCATGTTTTCCGTTTAAGTGTAGACCGCTGCTTATCGCATATTGAATTTTGTCAAATTCATGAACTAAAATGTGTTTTGATGGGGCAGATATAGAGCTACTTAATTTAAAATATTTAAGCTTGTAACTGTGCTGCCCATTCAGTATAGTGGTGAATGATGCTGACTGTTGTACGGTTAGGCCTGGGTTTGATTCCCAGAGTGGGTATGGATGTTTGCAAATGTTTGGGGCATTTTAAATATTTGTTGAGCAGTACGTGCTTTCAAGAGGTTGGTTTAGGGCAGCGATACTCAACTTGCGACCCGTCGACCTTTTTTGAGCAGCCTGTTCATAGCCCATTGCACTAGAAATTATATTATTGGAGAACAATATACAAAAAAATTTAGCAAGAAATTCTTTTAACAAAGCAATCAAATGTATCAATTTGTTCTTTTAATAGTAGAATGTAAGCAAGAGGCTTGGTCATACATGAAAGAAAATATAAAAATTATCCCATAACTCAGTAAAAATTCATGAAAATAAATATTTTGCGGGTGTGCTTGATAGAAAAGTTAATATAGTATTTTTAAAATAAAGCCAAAAAAGTATTTTAATATTTTGATCGATTTTGTTTGTTAATGTTGCTTTGGTCTTATAGTGTGCTTCTTCCATTATTCCTTATAACAAGCCCCTTGCCATGATGAATTACATGGGCTTTGGTCTGATGTTACTGTAGATTAGGTGGCATAAATAGCAGCAACAGTAAAGTTTCTGAATATAACTAATGTTTATATATGTTGTCTTGGGTGTAACATTGAAGAAATCGAAACAGCTACCTCGGAACAAAAAATCAGTACAATACTTTTTTATTTCACGTATTACTTTTATGAATTCTTGCATTTTGATGAAAATGAAGTGTAATCTGAAACTTTTTTCGATTACACTTTTAAATATTTTATGAGAATTTTTTTTATCTATAACATTCTGCAATCCCTCCTGGGAGTGGATGTCCATAAAACCTGTTCTTAGCAGATCTTTATTCATCAAAAGAAACATCCCCCCCCCCAAAAAAATTTTGAGTCTGTATGTTTAAGAGTTAAAAAATGAAAATTTTCTGTCTAGTACACATGTAACCACTGCAGTTCCATAGGAATGAAATTCCACAAATCCTGTTTTTGAGCAATTGGACTGACAAATTTAAATTTAGCAAACATGTTTCTTGTAATAAGTACAGATACCTCCAAAGTAGTGTTAAAGAAAATCAATGACGAGGATAAGTATACAGGGATGTAAAAGATAAATATACTTTAGCATTACAAACAAAGTATTGTAGTTTTTAAATCAAGAGGCAAGTGCTATAAGAATATTTTTCGATACAATGAAAGTCTTAATGCTAAGACATAGGTTACAATAACCTAATAAATTACAGTTTAAAAACTGAAAAATGCCCTTTTATAGTTAATCAAACTAAGCTGTAACCTAATCTCTTAGTCGCCAAATCTGAAAATGGAAACTGGAATTAGTCGCCGATGTGAGACGGGATCCTGAAAATGGGAAATCATTAGTCCGGATGATCATGTTTAGAACGATGGAACACACAAAGTTACTGTACTGTCATCGGTCCTTGACACATGTGCAAAAATTTGAATTAATCTGACCTTTTAAAGTGCGTAAAAATTGAGTTCAATAAAGATTCTGTTACATACAAGTGAAGCTTATAAAAGGGTGTTAAAAAGAATGTAGTTTTGTAATGTTCCGAGCCAAATCATACTGTCACCTGTATGGTTCTCAAAAGCTACAGCTAACTATAGTCTTACTAATAGTCCCTTGCCACGATGTATTTTGGGGGCCTTGATCTGATGTTACTGTTGATCAGGCAGCATAAGCAACAACAAATTTGTAACTGTGGTGAAGTGTCGTTTTAAAAACTTAAACGCTTGTTAATTTTAAACATTTATTTATTAAATTAAAACAAATTACCTTTTGCATAAAAAATGAAGCAAACAATAATTATTTTGATGAAAAGAACGGATCTGATACATTTCAACAATTTTTGAACATTTAGCATTGATTATATTAAGTCTAACCCTGTTGTTGTTGTGACTGATGCCACTTGCCTGAAGAAGTCAGATTGAGGCCCGTGAAATGCATCGTGGCTAAGGGCTAGAATTTTTACGCCTGTCGTTAGCCTTAGCTTTGAGCACCATGCAGGTGACAGTACAATTTTGCTCGTTTCCACCCCAATTTAGAGGGAGAAAACCCTGGGGGTGGCCAGGGACCTCCCACCCCTTTCCACCAACCACATGAGAGGACTTGTGGCTGGACAGCTAATTAGATTATCCGTATGCTGCAAAGATACTATACATCATCCATGTCTTCTCTGGGATTTGAACCCAGCACCCCAGTCTGTGGCCTTAACCACTATACTGGTTGGGCAACATGTCTAACCCTAAATCACTTTGGTTATTAAGAGAGGTGGTTTTTGGTTTTTAAGAGATTCATAATTATCCTGAAATTTCTTTTCACAGAAAAATCAATTAAAAGCTTTATCATGCTTTTCCATGATTCGGAATAAATAACATTGTCTTTTTAAAGCCAAAATTATCCATTAATAAATTATAAACCTGACTAGCTGCATGGCCCGTTGTTGCTCGGGCTTTCTCTACTTTTATAAAAATTTTCCCTTTCCTTTATAAATTCCGCACTTCTAATACTCTTTTTCAAAATGACTTTTACCCCATCCCCCTTCCTTCACTTAGCCCAGCATTGCTCTACCTTTTCATCTCGGAGAATGTGATTTCTGTTTTACTATACTATTTTATTAGAATAATTAAATTAAATTAATGAATAAATAGTAACAAACAAACAAACAAAAATAGTCCAACACCATATATAGAATGGATAGTTGCAAGAAAAATCATGTTCTATTTTGTCACTTTATATTGTCAATCTTTCATATAAATGTAGGAAGATTCAAACCAGTCACCTTCCTTTCTGAAAGTCAGTACTTTATCAATCATGCCAAAACGATCGTCTTCGGGTGATGTCTAAGTACTGATTTTTATTAAGATGCAACTACACTACTCTCCCACCAGTCAGGTGGATAGGCAAATGATTTGTTTTCTTTGTTCGTATGTTTTGGAGAGTGTTTGTTTATTTAATTTATTTTTCTTCTCTTATTTATTATTTTTTAACTTATTTTTCTCTCTCTTCATGTCTTATGTATTATTATTATATTCATTATTCTTGTGGTAGATGGCACCATAACAGTTCAGGAAGTTACATTTTCTTACTTCAGTCACGGGTTACCAGTGTAGGAAAGATTCGAACCGGGCACCTTCCGATCCAAACGCCAGTGCTTTATCGATCAAGCCGAACTGATCGTCCTCGCGTGATGTCTAAGTACTGGTTTTTATTTAGATGCTGCAACATGTATATACATATTTATATTAACTGTAACTGTTTAATAAAAAGTAATTAAAGTTAAAATTTTTATTTGTTGACCTAAGTAGGAATTGACTTATATATTTTTTTTGTTACCTGTAATATTAAATTCATCTTTTAGGTTACTAAAAATGCTTTGTAGAAAAGAAACAGAACAGTGTTTAAAATTTATCCATGTAATTTCTGTACAAAGTAAGTTCTGTTTATGTACATAAATTTATATAAATGTTCACCATTTTTAGTGTTTTTGATGTTCTTATAAGTTAAGTTTTTTCTCCATAACCTTTTCGATATTAATCTGTTAACAGCTTCAAATATTCTCTTATGTCACTTTTTTTAAGTGTATTGCACATAGTGGCACACTTTAATGGCATCTGTTTTTGTCAAAGACTTTAGTGTCACACGAAAAAGGGGTCTGGGGTAGATTCAAAAGACCCCATCTATATGGAGCAGAGGCTCCCAATTTTTTTTTTTTTTTTTGTCTCTTAGACTACTTGCTATGTTTTCTGGTTAAGTTTACACCACTGCATATTGCATATTGAATTTTTGCAAATTCATGAACTAAAATGTGTTTTTGATGGCAGATATAGATCTACTTAATTTAAAAAATTTAAATTTATAACTCTGCCACCCATCCAGTATAGTGGTGAATAACGCTGATTGCTGTGTGTTTGGGCCTGGGTTTGAATCCTAGATAAGGTATGGATGTTTGTAAATGTATAGTGTTTTTGTGGCATCAGGGTATCCTAAATAGCTGTCAAGCCGCATGTCCTCTCATGAAGTTGGTGGAAAGGGAAGAGAAGTGGGAAGCCTCTGACCACCCCTGGGTTGTTCTCCCTCCAAATTGGGGTGAAACTGAGTCAAATCATACTGTCATCTGTATGGTGCTCAAAAGCTACGGCTAATGATAAACTTACTAATAATACCTTGCCACGATGTATTTTGTGGGCCTTGATCTGATGTTACTGTTGATCAAGCAGCATAAGCAACAACAACAAATTGGTAACTGTGGTGTAGTTTTAAAAAAACACTTGTTAATTTTAAACATTTATTTATTAAATTTAAATTAATTACCTTTTACATCAAAAAATTAAGCAAATAATAAAAACCATTATTTTTATGATAAGAATGAATCTGATACATTTTAACAATTTTTTCAACATTTGGTATTGATTATGTTACGTCTAACCCTAAATCACTTTCGTTAGTAGTGTCCATTATTATTATTATCTTTTGGAGATTCACTATTATGCTGAAATTTCTTTTCATAAGAAGAAGCAATTAAAATCTTTGTCATACTTTTCCATAATTTGGAATAAATAACATTGTCTTTTTAAAGCCAAAATTGCTGATTATCCGTTTCTAAGCTGTATTTTAAGATCTTCATTAGAGTCTGTCCCAATAAGTTCCGCTTGTGAATATAACATTAGTGCCTTCTATAATATTACCATGGTCAAAACATTCTCAAATTGAATTTCAAAATCTGAATCAAAGGCATTTAAATAGTGAATATGGTTTAAAATGTCATGTTCCTGGCAAATTGAGAAGCTGGGAAAGTTCATGACTTCCAATATTATACTCCTTTATCTTAATTCTGGCAAGAAATGGTAAAATGATGGTCTTTGGTTTGTTTAAATTTAGTTTGTCACCTTTTAACTGCTTGTTATTCTCATTAATTTTAGTAAATAAATTTGTTCGAGTGGAAAAATCTAGTTTCCACTTATTAAATTTTATTTTTAAACAAACCCGATCTTTAACATCACGAAACTTTCAATCAATCAGTC